GGGCGACGCGCAGGTGGCGAGCCCATCTCCGGAGGTGGCGGCAGCTCGCTGTCTCCCGCGCAAGAGTCCTCGTCGGAACTAGATGCTGCAAGGAACACTAATATTATCCTAGTGTCGTTGTGTACGATGATTTCACAAAATTAAAAAACGATCGACGAAGGTTATATTGGTGTGATGAACCAGGAAGTGCGACTTCACTCTGAGAAGTATGCGCATCGAATGTCATCTCACGCTTCAAAACGGTCGAGCTTAGGTTACAGGTGTTCACAATGGAAGGAACATAAGTATATATACATACAACATCACCTAACTCCTGCCAGTCAGGCAGTTACGCTACAACACGAGTTTATGATTAATTTACATTTTTCTTGGCACTTACAGAGATCGTGGCGTTCTCTGTCCGGGCTCTTGGCCATCATCGAGGTTCTTTTGGAAGGCATTGGCAAAGACGGTTTAGGCCGATTCTGCATCTCAGCAAGGGCTTGCTGTACTGCCTCCTGTCTCACTTCTGTAAAAAAAGAGTGCATTTACTATCCCGCATACAATCGTCGCCTACATTCTATATTTATGCGTGAAAGGTTTTATCACCTCCTTGTAACGTTGATTTAAAGATTTAATCTATAATAATTGTCTATTTTAAATATTCTAAATTTAAACTAACTCTATCACCTCAAACTTTGTTATTTATATATCCATTAAACCTTTTCGCATAAATCTAAGAAATGCAGACTAAAAAATTTTTTCAACTACTGAAAAACATGCTGTCGATAACAATGACTACAAACAACAACAAAACCATTAGCTATTAATCAGTCAATCCGTGCAAATTAAACGGTTTAAACGAGCAAAAAAACAAATGTAGGTTATTTAAAGACATGCATTTAGAAAAGCATTGTAATAAAATCAGTAACAAAGTATAAGCAAAATATAATTTGTATGGTGCAGTATAGTAAATTCTGTGTCATAAATAAATGTTATCATTAATAACTCGTCGTCCTCTATGCCTCTTTCATTGTAGAAATTGTTCTGGAAGATTCTTTTTTATTTAAAATTCTATCTGACAAATACAAATTTATATTATGTTAGTGTAACTACAATATGTATAATTTAATCTACTTTAGCTCTCGATAAACTACGTTGAGCAAATTCTTACCAAAAGCTTGAATGTTTCTGCATACACATAATTTTCTTCAATTTCATCCCTAATCGTTCTTCTTTACTAATACTAGTCTATTAGAAAAAATGGGTCCCCGAATCAACATTTATCTCTATATTAAAACTTAATGCTTGAAAATGTACCCGTTATTTTCGTATTTATAATAAAAATATAGGTATTACTAAAGTACCGGTAATAATGATGGCTTAATCTTAAAAAGTGATGGATCGGAGCTATTATTCTTGTCATTTTATTACTCGAAAAATAAGGACGTTAACGTATAGGGTGCTTTTACACAATTTTTCCAATGATTTTATTGTTGGTCGTATCGAAAATCATGGCGAAATAACTTGGACTATGAAGTATAAGGCTAAACATATCTACATAAAAATTGGTATAGTAAAAGATTGCTGTCTGGAATAGAACATAACGTATCTTTTGAGATTTCTTAAATTCCGCGACGACGGAGTCGTGAGTGACAGCTACTCTTCAATAAAATTATTTTCTCTATACATTTTTTATTACAATATATCGAAATTTTCGATTATACTTTCAATCTTGTTAGCAAGTCAACAGCATTACCACATCTTGATGTAGATATATAAATAAATTTACAGATTTGATTAAAAAAACTGATCTCAGTTTTCAACTGGATATTACCAGTTCAAATATTGTAATTTAATACACCACGCGCACACTTATGTCGAAAAAAATGTTGCATTATTCAGAAATACATTTAGAATCCCAGCATGCTGAATATTTGAATCATAATCATACCACTACTAACTGTGAAAAATAACAATATCAATCGTCATAGTGCAAACAAAAAGTTTATCATTATAGTTTCATTGGATTTTTTTTAAATTTTCTCGAACTTACATTTTGCGTTCTAAAAATAACACGAAAACAACATAATCTATCTAGTGGTTTAAAGGCGAATAGGTGACTAACAACTAATTTATTTGTACAGAAGATTAGCAGATTAAATATTTGCACATGAACAAATAAGCCACAGTATCTATATTGTGAAGTAGCACTTGAATCTAGCATTCCAAATTATTTATTGTTTATTAGAGAATTCTTGTTCCAGGGAACCTATTAAGTAGGTATTTCTGAATGTCGTTTCACTGTGGTCAAGGAACAGGTTTTGCACGTGTATAATTCAATTTCTTTAGCTAACTGGGGACTGTAATAAAATGACGTTTACTCCTAAAAGTGCCTTAGAACCGGTTTTATTCAATAGGAGATAACGAAGTAACGGCCCGAGCCGAGGCTCCTGAGGGAGCCCTCGAGCCTAGTTACTCATAAAAGAGGTTTAGGCTAAGCGCCATCTGCGCTGGGCCACCTCAAGCCCGGTGAATCTGTAAATGCCTCTTCAAGGCAAACAGTGACAAATCAGTCACAAAAAAAAAAAAAATCAATAGGAGAGAATGATAGCATTTATAACGATATGTTTAGATATTCAAGTTTATAATTCTTATTTAATAAATCACATAAGGCAAACTATTATATACTTTCTAAACAAAAACATAAACAATTTATTACACATGTTTTTACTTTTATCAATTTCATTTTTACTAATGTATCAAACAAAATGTGAATAGAAATTGTGAATAAGTTTTTACATAGTAATAAAAGCATATGCACTTGTTTAACACTTACTTAATTAAAGTAGTTCCCATTTTATGTATTAACGTTTATTATTGCAATAGTTTTTATACATGAATTTCATTAAATAATTTCTGATGTCATATATGATATTCTCAATGGTGGAACATTGCGTGCTTGAAGCGTCGAATTTCTCTTGCACGACATGTGGCAACCATTTGTTGAATGAAATTATTATTATAGCAATTATAACTTAACTAGTTTTTTTCCCGCAACTCTGTCCGCGGAATTAAAAAAAAAATTAAGCGGCCTGTGTTGTTCCAGACTATGTTCTATACAAACAATCGTTGAGCCGATCTGACTAACCTTCTACCATCCATGCATGTATCCACCGATTTAATAATATTAGTAAGATGAGTAAGAAGTAAGATGTTAATAGTTTAAAACACTGACCTTAATCTTAAAAAAAATATATTTTCATTGTTTCTTATTCATAATTATATGAACTATTTCTGCTGTACCTTCATTATATAAATAAACGAACATAAAGTAAAGGGCGTCATTAATGTAAAGTTTTTCTAAAAAATGTTCTTGTAATAATATATTTATTGAAGTGCGGAAACCCTCCCTTTGGTTTGCATGTGCAGTGCTCACACACCCGTAGGTTCGTTATACAAATATACCTTTCATTATCGCATTTAATTTCTCGTGTTCACAAGATAATATTACAACAATTATAAACCGCACAAAGGAATAGATTCCTTCGATCTACCTTTATCAGTAAATATGAGTTCCTACTTCAGAATCACATTTTAGTCATACATCTACAAACTTTTCTCTTTATCAAAGTTGTCAATTCCATGAAATGTCGATTACCTTGATACTCATTACTTTTGATATTTATAATGAAATCATTGAATTGATTTGAATGGTTATAAAACTAAAAATATATTTTCAAAAACAATAATTATTTAAAATTAATAAGTTTTGCAATATTAAAACAATAACCCGAAACAATAGAGGTCATATTAAACAATAGAAACCATAATAATTAGTTCGGGAGTTTATTTGATTTTTTCGTTATTCTCATTATTTGAAAATGATTGACATCTTAAAAAACATATTTACATTAAAATAAATTCCATTAAAAATAACAATGCAATTACGGTCCAAAAGATATCTAAAATTATTGTGAAATAATAAATTTCTGGGAATCGTATTTTTTATTTTAATCGTCTCCTTAATTTATTTTTGATAAAAATTTTGTTCATAGAAAATTCGTTGTTATACGCCTATACAAAGTTAATGGCGGCTCGCACGAAACGCTGCACATAATCCAAGTTTAGGTATCAACGAGACGTGAATAATACACAGACGGTAATACCCTGGGTCTAGCTCTAGTTGGCTCTCTTGGTAACAAACTAACAACTTGGCTTGCAATGATGATACGAATCGTCCTGGCAACCAGCTAAAGTTTGAATCTTATAATGCCGTGTAGCCGTGTGGGAGCGAAAATATAATTGAAAATGGCGGAGGGTCGGTGTTCAACTTAGGTGGCACTAGAGGCCGTGTGCGAGCCACTTCCCAGCGGGTGAGCTCGGCTTACATGCTAAAAATCTCTTTTTAAAGTATAAACATTTTATATATAAAACTAGGATTTGTGTTGCATACTAAAGAAAGCTCAAAAATAGTTTTTCCACCAGCTAATTTATTATAGTAGTGGCTTTTATAATAAACAAAATTAGTGAATATATTAGAAAATAAAACAAAAAGCTACGAATCCCTCAGTAACCGGAAATTTCACGGGGATGAACCTTGTCCCTTGTGTACTCCAGACTTTGGTTTATATCTGTACCATATTTCAATAAGATATGTTGTACCGTTGCAGAATGATCGAGTAACATTAAAAAAACTATATTAATGAATCCCACGGGAACCGAACTATTCCCGAGATAAAAAGTAGCCTATGTTCCTTCCAGACTATACTCTAAACCTGTGCCAAATTTCATGAAGATCCGTTCAGCCAATTAGGCTACAGAACTACTACCATTTAGGCTAACAAACATCCATCCATCCATCTAAACTTTCGCATTTATAATCTTACTAAAACTAATATTATACTAATCTTACCAATAGTGACCGTTGGGATTTTTACATGTACTGCTTAACTTATTCCTATTCAATATTTTCTATAAGTTCAAAGATCAGGATAATTTTTTCACTATCTAAGATACGGAGGCAAGATTTAAAAAGGGATTTTAAATTTTATTCCGAGATCTATAGGTAAGCTCTACAAGTTGATTGACTCAAACCATCGTGAATAAATTGGAAATACGAGGAGCAATTTCAATCGGAACTACAGATAAGGTTAGTTCTAATATCATGTAATACCGAGTTTAAAAAATGAAAAGGCTTGTTTATAGACCATATTTGACAAAAAAGATATTGAGGAAAAAATATCGATACAATGCCATACTTAGTTCTTATAAAAAAAAGTAGACGAACTGCGTACCTCCTTCTTTTGGGACGTCGGTCAAAAATCAAGCCTGAGATATATTTTCAGTAATTAATAAAATGTAAGTAATTAACTATTTGCAAATATGTTAAAGTATCGTTCAAAGCTTGTTTAACGACATATTTTTGTACCTTTTCGATCTTAATAATGATAGAGTAATAAAACCACAAAACAACTCGTTCCACGTTATTTATGTGACGGACAACAAGCAAGCACAAAACGGTAAACA